ATTAAGCACTTTCATGACCAAAGTTAAGCATATCCGCAACCACAAATTACTTCCTACGCCCGATGTCGAAAACGTGCGCCATGTGTCTTGTGCCCTTTTTTTGATAAGTAGGTGTAAAAATTTATGTCACAGCCTGGTTAGGCTTGGAAATAAAAGAGTAAATGGGGCAGGGTCTTGACCTACTGTCAAAACCTCTATGTAGTCGTAGTGGTTGACTTGCCCTCGAGACCCCAGTAGTTAACTTGTTTCAACCTGTCCTGTTGGCATCGCCTAGATGTGAATTGCCCCAGTTCCTTTAGAGCTATTGAAATGGGTGAATGCAGGCGATCCAATTAGGCCCTTTCAATTACCCTCAGCTGTATGCCTGCGCCATTTGAAATTCAACAAACTGTGCATCTCTTGGGACGATGGGAATTTTGCATTTTAAAACTACCTTTATCAGAATGCTTCAAAGTGTACATTTCTTCGTAGCGCCCATTAATTAAACTATTATTTCAGGATTGGAAAAGTGCTCTTTTAAGGAAATGAGGAAATTGCAGGAGTCAAAAGTAGTGGGAAAAATCCATTTTTTCTTGAAGTTTACCAATATCAAGCGATCGGGAGCAGTTCCGAGATCCGATAAACGTAGAAATAAAGCAAGGGGAAGTGCAGAACAAAAAATCCGACGGCTAGGATGCAATGCAGTAAATTGCTTCCTAAATGTAGTCTAACCTCGATGCTAATGCAATTTTGAATGGTGGCCAGGACAAGCAAACTTGGCAAATGAATGTGGTTTTACAAAAACGGGATGAGATGGTTCACAATCATCGGGTAGAAAACTTTTGAGATGTTATATTAAAAGCACCTTATTTCTAGGTTCTATGGCGATATTTGGGAATCTAAAGAAACTCTTCATGGTGTTTGTAGGCAAATAAGGAGAACGTAACCATTCGTGACTTTATTTCCCAATAGAGTGAAATCAACCGAATAAAAGGAAAATATTTTTACTATGGTTGTATAAGGTTTAACACCACTACTAATCCCCAGCACAATTGGTGCTTTTGTAGGTGCTGGTACCATTCACAGTAGCTGATTTTGAGTAAACTACATGTCACTAAAGGAGCATTTAATAAAGCGCTTCCTATCTCAACGGGTTTATGTCGCTATTTTTTGACACGAACTCATCCAATCATGTGCAAAGTCCTAATTACTTGATAGTTTCCGGTCTGCTAAAAAAACAATGCCATGGTTTCAAAACACAGCACTTTTCTAATTACGCAGACGTTCAACTGCACACAAGTGCATTTACTTTAGTTCACCAAGTGAATTCCACATTTCCTGGCATTCCACTTGAAAAAATGATTCCTTAATTCCGACTTCTAAGCATCCCATTTCCAAAGGCACGGCTCACTAAATAAGCTTAAAACAGTTTTATTGCTATTTGCGAATGATGGCCGATAAATAACGGAATATCGGGATTAAAAATGTCCTTAGATCACACTGTTAACACAAGCGTGACACGATACTCAACATGGAGTTGACCCAAATGTCTACTTGGTTTTTTTGGAAGAAATAAAAAACCAAAAGTCACACAAACTAGGGTGAAAAGAAACCAGCTTTATTTTTGCTCAAATAATTTCTGAAACTACCTCAAACATCAGCAACTTATTATTTGGGCTGTGTCCTTCATATATTTAACCCGTTAATTAAGTGAAAGACACTTATCCCTCTTTTAGGTGTTGGATATACACATAGTAGATGTGCACTACGGAGTAGTGCACCGAATGCTTATTTAAAGGGTCCTCGTCTATGCGTCCACAAACGTTTTTACGCATTTTATCTAAATTAATCACGAATGCACTTTGTCTGACCCACTTTCTCAATGTTACGGTCGTTTTTTGTCAAAATAAGTGACACTCACCCAGAAGCATTTGAAGAAAATCCGTAGATGCAAATATGGCCACTTTTGCGCTGAAGAATTCGCCCGTAAAACGATTTTTTGTTCCAATTACCAGGTATTCTAGTGCCTTGCGCAAATCCTAATAGGGTATGGTAAATAGAGGAGAACGAACGTACGCTTCTAAGAGTGGCTAGAACTCGAACTCTGCCCTTCTGCAGGCCACTGCAGATATGCCAACTGTGTTGATGGCCAGGAAAGTCCCGACTCTCCACATCGAATCTACCGTAATTGCGCAGTTGCAGCAACTGCCCGGGATTTAGACGACGACTTTTATGTTGCTCGTCCTTCGCAAGAACTTGATACTCTTCAAAGTCTTGGTGCACGAACAGATCACCAACATCGGGGGCCTCGTTTCGGTTGTTGAGACTGGGAGTAAGTTGAGAAGGCGGCAAGCTAACAGACCAATCGGCCCACGTGAAGAGAGTCCTCTCAACCAGTGTGAGAATGTGTGAAAGGCATTCACTTTGAACCTCTGGAGGAATGTGAGGCAGGGAGCCGTTGGCGAAAAGAGACTTTTTCAGCGGTTTCGGTATGCGACATATACCGGGATCTAGTAGGGACTCCATCAAACCTCAGTCATTCAGGCTCGCACATCTAAAATTGACCGGATCGCAGACAAGTATGATGTCAGAGTCATAAAACGGAGTATTTTTGGTGGTAGTGTGATTCAAGATTCTCTTTATGAAAGGAGTACGGGAAATCCTCCGATATATGAAGCTGTTTTGGACAGTCAATTGTACAGTTGCGCAACCACTATATCAGCAAAAATATGGGCATTCGCAAGCAAAAGAGATAAAGTAAAATTTTTGTAATAATGACACAACTCAAAATAATTGTCCAACGCACATAGCATATACGTATATTTTGAGCAATACGAGACGCACACCTTTATAATTTTGGTGATGACGTTTACAATGTGTGTAAAGTATAAATGCATCAAAAAAGATAAACGTTAGGCTACCTAATTAAATACGTTCACATAATTTGAGAGAAAGCTCTAGTGGAGATATGAAATTTAATGCTCAGGGAAAAAACACCCCATGAGTATTTGACTCGAAAGTCAACCATTACTCTGCCAAAATCTACTTATTAAGCGAATTTATTCAAGACCTCAATGACGAAGTACACATTTCATTACCAGAGAAGATTAACAAACCGATGTCCTTTAATTTCGTGGTTCAAGGACAAATGGTTTTAAAATCGACTATAGGTAAAAGGGAGGACGATGAGTGGCTGGAAGAGCATCATTATCAAAGACCGCACGTAAAAAAAAATCAGTGGGAAATAAAAGTATAGGCGAGGTCTTACTTCTTTCTTTTAGCAAAGAATCCAAAAAAAGAGTTCCTCTAGCAGAATGAGATGCAAGAAAGGCCCCAATAATTGCCAGAAGTTGGTTACAAAACTTTAAAAGCATGCAGATAGAAACTTAAAAAAGACGTTATTTACCTTAGTAACAAAAAGATAGGTTATCCAGCTGTAACTAAAAAGGGCATTAGCAGCGCACACTCTTATCAGACATTTTGTGATGAGAATAGACATGCGATATATTGTTTTTTGCCTTACATTAAAAGAGTTAGAGTCGATGCAAGGCAGCCTCAACTATCTTGACCCACAAGTTATTAGCAATAAATTATTCCCAACTAACAAGTGCTCTTCGACGACTAAAAATAATTTAACAATTTGCAAACTACGAAAAATTGTTATTGGTTTTGCAGTTTATGCTTTGCCGTCTCTTTTTTTGATATTTTTTCTTAACGGTATTGCTTATAGCATCTGGATTTTTGAAATCAAACGTCAACCAATCATTCCCGGGCGCCATCTTTGTACTCTGCCTTCTGTCGTGTTCCCAAAGTCACCTTTGGTTTTTCCTAGATATAGACACAATCTTATTTCTCCTTATCTTCTATACGTCTGCTGTTGCGCTTTAATCCCTATTTCTTCTCATCGCACCAGGTCAGACTGAACAGCAATAGCAATGGACTTTGCATCAAAGGTGCCCTTTTTCTACATTTCCACAAGCACATTTTTCTAGATTTTTATTGTCCTTAGCCCACAACTTGAAGAAGCGAAGTTATGTGACGGAATCACGGAACTTCAACTGCAGAACTATCTAGTACCCTCGCTGCCTCTTTCCTGTCTGGTGGATGACGATTTTATCGCTGGCTTTTGTCATAGAGGTGTACTTTGTGTTTGAATCTTTGGTGGAATCATTTATGAATTGTATTTCCACTTGTTGCTACTTTTGTGGACTGTCTTGCGTTTACTGCCCTACGTCACTGTTAGTTGATTTTTTTGTATCAGATTATGGCCTACGTACTTGTTTCGGTCTAATCCACCCATTATTTGCTCGTCACCTGTTTGTATTATGTGATCATGGTAATAACAAAACTGGCTACTTTGGCTCCTGGTTGCCCCTTATGCATTGTTTATTTGATGGTGTTGTTAATTTGTGCTCTAGGTATCGTGGATATCATTCCTTTGGCTCATCACAATGATCTGGAGGTCTTTGTTAGGAAAAGTAAGCATTTTTTAAGTAGGGTCTTATTTCCACCATTCTCACAAGAACCTCTCTGCTAACTATACTATACCTATTCTGCATTTGTTCATTCGCCTTTCCGCATATAAAGTCAGCGTTCTTCAATGAGAAATTTACCATGGCCAGTTTCCCATATTTCCAGACATGCTGACCATCAATATGTCAGCTTCTGTCTACTCCGCTTTTGGACTGGCAGGTGTCAAGTTCATGTGCAACAACCGAAAGATGTACCGTAAGTTTCTAACTCCGCTTGTTGCCATCCCCTCTGAGCGTGTCTACTTGTTGCTTTATAAGTAATATATATAACCGTGCATGAAAGTGTCTTTATTTCTACAAGAATGGGAGATAGAGCCTGCTGCACGCTATTTTTACGTAGAGCTTTTTTTATTAGCTTTGTATTTTATTTTGAACCTAATTTCCTCGGTTGTTGTCTTTGCCTGTGCGTTGAAGCAAAGGTTCGCAAGTGGCCTGCCACCGGGCGGTGTTGAACCGAGGGAAGCCGCGGTACGCCTTAAACTAATGAGTAAGGAAAATAACGCTCCGGTGGAATAACCGGTGTGCTGGACTTGCTCCAGGCCTATCTTTGCAGGGTGCAGGCCTTCTCGTTGTGTCCTCCTACTCCGCGAGGACGCGTCGATGATAGTGGCCTACCCAAGGTCGAACTACAAGACAAACTTTGGGGTGGGGGCGGGTTGGGTTTGGGCGTGGAGCCTTGGTTACCCTCTCTCCTCTCTCGCGCAGACTTCAACATTCACCTGGGTTGGCCAACCTTCAAGCGCAATGACAATGCGCATATGCGACTGCGCAACTTCTTCAACAGTGAGGAGGTCACCTCTCGACGCCCGCCCGGTCCTTGTGTAGTGCGCTGGGCGGTGAACAAAAATATTGACTGGACGCGAGTTGAGAACGGCGGGTTGCCGGAGGCACCGCACCCCTACTCCTTGGCCCGTTTTCTGGCTCCCGACTTCCGCATTGTAAGTCCTCCCTCCAGTAGAAAGGATGACTCGCCATTCGGTTTCCACTACATTGTGGTAAATTCTGAAAGTAACAAACATATGCGCTTGAATTTTCGGCACCGTTTCAGCATCTTTATTTTTGGGAAGCCGATAGTGAAGAGGAGTATGTGTGGCCTTTTTGAGTTGCTTTGATTCTTTTTCCTTGCGGCAAGTGGTTTGCCACCCGAGAGATTTGGTAGCTTTGAGCACAGGATCCAATGAATATGATGATTGACGACGAGGTAACTTTTAACGCATTATTTTGCCTTCAGGCCATCCCCACAGTAGAAGTGTGTAACCTAGAGGCCGGAGCTGAAGTCCCACGATTTATCGAAGCAAACTCCTCCGTCGATCATCCATCGGGCTCCTCAGTTGATCATGAGTCTGCTCGCATCGCGCACTCCACTCTTCAACAGATGGCCGCCGGTGTCTATCCTGCAAAGTGAGTCGAACTTGATTCATTTTGCGCATTTCTGCTTATGTCAAGTTACTGTTTTTTTTCTCCCACTTCAGTGACAGTTACTTGTCCCCCCTGTCTTCGCGTCGTGTGTCGGCTTTTGCGCCGGGCGAGGCGATTTGTCTGCGGGGCGCAACAATCCTCACCATTTCTGGGATCTTCACTTTAGAGCAATGCCAAAAGTTGGAGGATCTACTAACGTAAGTTCTAATTCACCCAAATGATGGTTATGATGATGACGTGCTCTTTTAATTTACCCTTGACCCTTCGTGCCTCAGTGAGGTGGTGCGCACCAGCCCGTCAGAGAACTCGGTGGCTTTTTTCGCAAGCCGTCAGATCGAGTCGGATTGGTTCCCCTCAATTACGGAGAAGAAGAAGGATGGCCACTCCCCGGTCTTCTTCCAAAAGCTCCTGGCTCCTGTCTTTACGGCCAGTCGACCCTACGTGCTGACGCTCAACTTTGTACCTGAGTTGACCTGCGAGATCAAGGAGTAGGCTGTCTCATTCCCTCTCCTATACATGTACATTTTTATCGGTGTTTTATCTATTATCGGAGGGAAAATGGGACAATTTTATCTAAGGTACGATAATATTTTCTGTGAAGTTTGCTATTTCATGCTCCAAGAACAGGATTGGGCTAGTGGTTTCTTCGTTTTGGGCCATGAATGTTGCTTTTTGGCTAGTGTTTCTACGAAAAGGGATTGGCAAATGGAGTATGCTTGTTGTGGAATATCGTTTGGCTTTTTCACAATCGCTTGATTACTTTCCAATGCAGTTCTCCCTGCAACCTCTGCCAGACCCCCAGCATATACTACCACTACTAGGTAACAGCCTCCCTATGCTTTAGATTCATACATTCGTCTTCGGTCTTGCCTCCCAGTTAGCTGCAAATCGCACAATAACCTGTTAGGGCCGAAACAGAAGCTAAAATCGCGCTTGAGTCGAGAAAAGGACTTTGTAGTTAACTGATGTTTGTTTAACTGTGAGTTATTAATTCTTAAGGAGTCTGCTTCCTTCTTAGTTGTACAATCTTGAAGCCGTCCTCATAGCCTTCAAGATCTATACAGTAGCGTACTACCCTTTTGTATTGGAGTCCCCTGTTGCGAATTCAGAAAAGTCTGATGGTTCTCTCCGGTGTTTGCACATTCCCCTATTCTTCGACTTCCTACTCAAGAGCTATTAGTTGCTTCCTGAGCGTTTTTACGTTGCCATTTCTACTAGTAGCCCACGGAACTGTTCCAAATCCAATAATCCAACACTCGGGAGATCACGTACCTGGATGGGTTGGTGTTAGCAACGGTGAAATATTAGAAATGAGAAATTGATCGCTAATAATTATGGCTCAGAGTAATGGTACTTAACTATCCGGCCTCTTTCACCCCCTTACGGACCAACCTTTGTGACTATGGCATGGATCTACTCACCCTGACCATGGCACTAGTGGCCTCTGCACGCCCATAATGAAGCTCACTTCCGATGCCTTGGAGACAGATCGGAGGTTTCGATAGCAGAGTTGCGAATAGTAAAGACAAATTTATGTTCTAGATAGTTCCAGCCTCCATTCTAGTACCATGATGGTTTTGTGATATATTTGCCCTTTAATCAATCATACGGCACTCGCCCCCTTCGCATTACCTGTCGCATGGATGGACTTCAGTGAAAAAATTACAAGTTCAAAAGTAGTTGGGTCATAAGATTTTTGAGCAGTTAGCAGTCCAATTCCGAGATTTCAAAGAGTCTGGACCAAGCCCTGAAGTATAAAACTACGCGTCAACTCCAGGCAAGCAGTTATACCAACTTCTGCAGCAAGAGGAGATAAATTTGCTGCTTGAAAATGGACAATAAAAGCGTGAAAGTTCTTAATTCTCCGCTGTATATTCTCTGAAGGTACTTCAAAAATGCGTGGGGACAGTCATTGTTCGAGACCATGGATTATCCAGGTTGAAAAGAGTGCATCCATTGGTTAGCCTGACAGAATCGGTGCTCCTTCGTCAACTTCTTGTCATTCATTTTTGCAATACGGTCGAAATGGTGACCGGAAATGTTACGAAACCGTCATGGTTTAAAATTAGTGTTGCGTACAACCCTATTTCAAATGCAACCGGGACTTGCGGGCTTCTCAAAGTAATGCAAGTAACTAATTTCAGGAAGTGGCAACATAATTCTATGCTACAGTGATGTGCTTGTCCCTGCGTTCAATCAGTGTCTACAAAGAGTCATTGCGGTTGTACCACCCCAGGGCAGCCTATCTACCTTGAGACCCAGCGCGCAATTTCACACAGGTGAGTGCGTTCCACCCACTGACAGAATATTCACGGGCATGCAGGGCTGAGAGGTACCAAGGTCGACGTGTCATGGCCATCTTCTGAGCATGAGTTTCCCACCGCTGGTGCCTTTGTCAATATCAGCTGTTTCTGTGCCTCCATTAACGAGAAACTGCATCATCGCCCACTGTCCCATCACTTCCGCTAAGAATCTTGACCTTACGACCTTACCCTCCTCTGTGTGTGATTCGCCTCTCACACAGCTCTGACGAAGTCACTCACACTTCTGGTCCTCCAGCACTTTTGTAGGCCATAATAAAGCCACTTCCAGACTCTTTTCTTAATAATCATGTCCAGGAGTCACTCGCAGGTTAAGATGGTAACAGCGGAGAGCGTGCTTGGAGTTACTGTCAGGAGTTGTCTAAATCTATTGGGTGACGTGATAATGAACAAATGTCCCTCTTCGTGTTCAATTAATGGGCCATTGTATCGTCGTGGTCGCACTGTGTACCGCCAATTGTCCAACCCTTAAAATACGCCTATCTTGATGCACAATTGGGTAGAGGTTAAAGAATCTTATTTAACTCAGGTTTTCAAATGGCCATAACTCCAGTGGTTGGGTGTTTCATTGCCCGAAAGCAATAATATCTACAACGATGCTATTATGAGTACTAAAAAACTGCAAGCCAATGCAAATCATGAACTTTATTACTGTCGCATACAAAATTTACTTGTATAATAAATACGTGCAAAAAATCTTCACCATAATTAGAAGAAAGGACTTCACACTTCATGGTTCTGGTTTCAGAGGCAGGGCGTATCCACTGACATCATCCTCACTTGTGAATCTTGCCACCTCACCTTCGCCACCGCCACCGCTGCTACCGCTGTAAGTGTAGGTGCGCGTCGGTGCGTAGTCTGAAGCGCTCAACGGCAGCGGCGGTAGTTCTGCTGCCACGATCGTGGCCCCTTGCGTGGTGATCAGGTTCGAGTCGGGTGAGGTGCTAGTAAGGCTTGTTGACGAGTCATGCGAGGTGGTGTTGTAGGGTGCTGTCACCGCTGCTCCATGACCGATGTTGAACCACCCGGGCAGTGGCTGCTGGCTTAGCTGTTGCTGGTGGTAGGGATGCTGTTGATGGCGATGCTGCTGCATTTGCATAGCACTATTTCTAAAGTGGCTTGACATCATTAGGTAGGTGCGATCAATAAGGCCGGTGTCACCGACCCAGGCGCTGGGTTGTGAATAGTGGGAGGGGGATTGAAAGGCATACATTCCACTTGGGGGGTGGGGACAGGTGGTGGACCAATCGAGGCATTGGGCACTAGCAGCAATTTGTCGTGATGTCCAGAATTTAATATCACTGCTGTTAGTCATCTGTGGGAAGGTGGGCAGTACCTGCGGTGTGTATGCCTGAAGCTTTACCTGTTCGTCTGATTGCAAGATCTGCGATGGTGAGCAAAACTACTTATTTTAAATAAGTAACATATCGTGGTGCAAATCGTTTACCGAAACTTACCGCTTGGGCAGCATACTCGCGCTCCACAGCCCTTTCTCTACCTGGGCTCCAGTCGTAGGTTACCGAGTTTTCATTCTGCTCCGCATCCTTAGGTTCCACCTCGGTGCTCTGATAAAGAGGGTAAGTAGGTTGATGAAATGGGAATCCCCCAAAACGTTGTAGGGAAGCCAGCGGGTAATAATGTGCGTCTTCCACATTCTGGCCTTCCTGATTGGATGCAACCTGATTAGGGTCGGCAACCACTGTGACTGGTGAGGAGATATCAATCTGCTTTTTAGCGGTCTTTACAGCACATCGTTTTCGACCGCTTTCAGCACTGATGGAACCGGGTGATGCAAAAGGCGACTCCTTGTGACTCGTCTTAAATCGTCTCTTTCGACGCAAATAGGAGCCGTTCTCAAACATTCCATGTGCCGCCGGATGGAGGGTCCAGAAGGCACCCTTGCCAGGCCGCTTATCGTCGCGTGGAACCTTCACGAAGCAATCGTTTAGGCTGAGATTGTGACGAATGGAGTTTTGCCAGCCCTGCTTGTTTTCACGATAATATGGAAATCTGAAAGTAACGGAGATTAGTTTATGGGTACAAGCAACATCCTCATAACTTTACAGGTGAGAGAGGTGATGGTCTACGCTGCGGGATTATTGGGTAAACGTAGAAGGAACCTTCTGAGGCATTCTTTATTTGCATAAGCCAATACGGTTTCATCTCTCATCTAGTAAGAGAATGAGAAGAATTTGTGCAGAACAGAGATCCGCTAATTTAAATCCAATCCTAAGCGAGGATTTAGTTAATGCAATATTAAAATATAAGTGATGGAACTGAAAGGAATAGCCTAGGCAATACTTGAAGGAAATATGGAAAATTGTCAGTTGCATGATGTTTGCTGAACTACGGGTAAATATGAAGGAGACGTTTTACATCCACCTTTTTAGACTCTGGGAGCGTCACATTACTAGGACGGATGTCACATTTATAGCCTTTTTATTACAAAAGGACAATAGGCCAATCAATGTTATTAAAAGTTAATCCTCAACAAAGTGTGAATGGTAAGAGCCTTAACATTAAGAAACAAGAAAAGAGTGTATGTTGATCACATCGAAGAGGCCAAAAATATAATTTTTACTCATGTATCAAGGTGTGATACTGATCAATGGTTTTGAAAAGCCGTTAGATAGGGCTCTTACGCTAACGAATGATAACATATCAACACGAAAACTCTTGCATAAAACAAGAAAAAAAGTCAGCTAACTTTGCATCTCATAACTGACCTCTCCGCGATAAAACGATAGATTCCGCTGAGCGTTACCATCTTGTCAGGTTGTGCATCAATGGCCATGCTGATTAGAGCAATGTATGAGTACGGCGGTTTCATAGATTGCTCACTCGTGGTATGGATCTGTGAGGTGGAGGGAAATGTATAATCAATCTCCTCCGAGTCCGGCATTGAAGCGGCTGCCGCCCCCGCGGCCGCAGCTGCAGAAGCAGCCGCAGCAACCGATGAAATTGGGCCGAGATTGGCTGAGAAAGAGGGCATCTCTGTCTGAAAGGGTGGAACCGTAGTCTCTTGTCCTCCGTTGAGAGGGTTGGTCTCCAAAGGAGGACCGATTGGCCAAGAGTTGGGAGGAAGATACTCACTAAGAGCAGCAATATCCTGATGCTTGTGTTCGCCATTATTAGCAACCTGTGTTTGAGTGTTTTCACTGACATCATTCCTTGTATTTGTGTTGTAGTAAACCTGCTGACTGTGGGGGTGTCGACTGCTCTTTTGCAGGGCATGCATTGATTCTGCCCGTGGATGTGTGTGTATGTAAGTGTGTTTACTGAAATAACAAAAACATAACCTAGTGTGTTTGTGTGTGTGGTATGAGGTGCTGGAAAGATCGAATGCACGGCACCTCCGATGTTGTTCTAACTCGGCCACCCGTGCGTCAACCAATAGCAGTCGTGAGCCGACTGATTGGTACGCAGTTTGGGCCTTGCGTGCTTACGATTGGCTAATCAAAGCGCAGGGGCATGCATGGGGCGTTCTTTTATTGGCGCGTTCACTTGGGGATGGAAAGTCATTCGGAAAACGCCTGAGACACCATTCATCAACAGTTCAAACAATATGCGAAATTAACCAAGTATGTACAAACTTATTACATAATCCTGATTTTGGATATCATGAAAGTGAGCTGGTGGAATAATTAAAATAATTCAAAGGCGTTTCGAAAGAGGTATCATGGAAGGCATCAGTCTCTAAATGGAAGACTCCTTTTACCTCGTTTGGAGAATCCAATATCCTGCGAGAATATTATTCTTATTATTCCATTCAGAATCGTTCCATTTAAGAATTATTTTCCCCTTCATTCTTTTATGCTAGTTTTTGTTTGTCTCTCACAAAGGTAATGAATTGTTTACGCAGAACTGTTTTAGATGTTCATGAGTTAATGCTTTTTGGCGGATCTGCGCAAATCATGGCTTGTTCAAGCAGTCTCGGCAGATAAGATCCTTGTAGCATAACCAAAAAAACATAGCCACAATTACTGTTGAAATGACTTTATATGCTTCTGAAAATAGCCGTTGAAAGGGGACTTGTCACCGAATCTGAGCACACACATGGCGTAGGTAAACACATTGCCAAATTGTAAGCAGCAGCTCTCTAGCTAACAAGAGGGGAGGATAGGGCAATGCGTATCTTGCTTCTGTCTGGACTTTGGACCCAAACAACGCAGTGGGGCTTGCTTGCTTGCCTGCCTGCTTACGTGCACAACTTTCCCTCATTTTGCACATAAAATGTGCAGAAATTGCAAGGTAGTTTGCTAAATTTAAATCCTAGTGATTTCTGTACCAGCAACACTTAGCGATTTCACTGCTGACGAGGTCCGATAGAAAGTCCCCTATATCTCAAGGTATGTGTGTGGAGTGGGTAATGCCGTAGAAGGGACAATGAGATTCTTTTAATCGAGGCCTCTAATTTTCATTTCTGTTGCCGTTTCCCCTCCATACAAGTACAGCAAATGATATGCTTTGATTTCCACGCAGAGCTGCTAGCATGCTGTCATCCCACAACCCAGTTTTAAGAGATGCTGCGATTGTTTTGCTTGCCTAGCCACACAAGCACAGTGATGAAGGGAGAAGCAGAATGGCGCACAGACACCTACCAACCGCATTCTGTAGGGCCCTTTTGCTGTTGTGCAACTGCGTTCTCACCGAACAGTCTTTCTACCTCAGTGGGACATGAGTGGCGCCAGGCAGTCGACTATCAACAGTGAAGCTGTTGCGGAGCCGTTGTTGTGGGACAGGTAATCGGTCAGACACTTTTCGACCAGAAGGGGGTTCACTTTTTAAATAATGTGTTCAAGGTTGACATCGAAGAACTTTGGCATCGTGGCGCCTTCGTAATAATTTTACTCGATAACTCACGAAACGCGTCACCTCAGGGACCGATCTTGTGTAGGATCCTACGCCGCTATTCCAACCACTGACTAAAACATAGAACCTCAAAACTTTGATTTGCATTTCAGAAAACAGTTGGTGGACATGTGTCAACTCAAATACCGCTTCAATGACATGCGTAATACAACTTTTCTTCTTTTCACTAAACTGCGAGGTACCAAAAATGGGTTGCCTTATATTCAAACATCTGGATTTTACACAAGTGGCTCTACCATCATTGTCGTAGTGATTCTTCAAATTTGTTAGTCCTCTAGTCGACTAATTTGAAGTCCTGCAAGATCTCTTTTCCCTTAAATGAAGTAATGAGGAATCACCTGCACCTCCTTATATTGAAGCGTAGTTAACAGACTTAAAATGACTCTTTTGTGCACTTCGTAGGCTTGATTGATGTAGATGATGGGTCAGGAGGAAAAGTGTCTTTGATTTGGAGAATGATTAAGCCCATTTGATTGGCGGTACAAGTTCAATCTCGTGATTTAGAGGTACTAAATCGGTATAATTAGGTTGTTAGAGCCATAACAAGCATAATTAACACTGCCATTTAAACTGCCCCAACCCTTGTATAATCGTGGTTGGTGCAAATTAGGTAATGATTGGGCTTAAAATACAATACTCGATGAGCAAGAGGGCTGATTCTTCATTTATCGTATAGTGATGAGCCAGGTTAACCACCCTGCTCAATCCTCTAGTTAAATTCAAGGAATTTTTAAGCACTGTTATCTGGTTTACTTAATAAGGTTAAAAGTACGGACAATAATTCACCGTCCCCGTGTCCACCTCCCGAGGTAGCCATGTTAATTGTTTCAAGTTCTAAACCGTGGAATGTAATCGATCCCGCCTGCACCGCATATACACCCACACCAGCCCACTCGCGGTCAGGCTTTCTGCAATGTTTGTTTTTCCGGAAGTTCCCACCCCTGCACCACCACCAACACCGATGGGCCGCAGCCCGCCCAGCGAAACGCCACTGGCACTCCGCCCCTACCCCTTATTCACCACCTCTGCGCCCACACCACCAACCCCATCAGTTAAGCACCTGATCGGATTATAATCGGTGTCAATTGGGGGGACACAGAGTGAAGGGGGGAATGGTGTTGTGGGAAATGGGGAGAGGTGAACGATCGTAGTGATTGGCTACTGGGATCGCTGGTGTGCGTGTGAGAGAATGCATACTTCCCCAACGAACTTGAGGACCGGCTGAAATAATAACCATTGTCCAGACTCGTCGGACATACATGTACTCGTACCAGTGGCAAAGATTACAAAATCGTAGTAGACATTCTTTTCTCTTGACATGCCACATATATTGTCGATGTCACAATCGTGGTGTGTTCAGTAGGAAGTCCTTAGCTCTTCTCAGAAAACCACTATGTCAAGACTTTTGGTAATACTTTTTCTAACACAGGTTTATGTGTGTGTAAAGGGAAATATAAGATAATCTAGCAGAAAGGTTTACTATTGTGGCTGACTTATAGCAGAGACCGAAATCTCTGCCGAATGCGGGACATTTTCCGCTCAAAAGCTGCCGAGTCAGTGTCCATACACTGTTAAAAATACAAAGATTTGCTTTAGGGGTAATAATCGACATCTTAGCATCCAGTCTGCAAGCGGATGAAGGGATTTTTACAAAATATGACTGTCCTGTCATTATCATGCATCAGTGGTACATTTGGCCATGCCTATGCAGCTTTTCGAACTATTTCACTATCTTTATCAAGTCAAGGATACAGATTTTAAAAAAAAAAAGAAGATCGAGATCTCGCAAACATGTATCAACACACCTATGCGATCACACCCGTTAGAACTCCCCTTACCATCTCTTTACATCTCTGGCCGCTAATTTGCGGTAGTTACGATATATGGCAAATGCATGACATGCAAAATCAGGTCTACAGTATCACGGCAGGCGCGTGGAATGGATGGCGATGAAACTGGGAGATAGCAGCGGCACCTGAATCCCCTCCTTCTACCGCCCCCCCCTCTAATTCCTTCGGAAGGTTGTGGCGGGGAGCATGTATCGCCACCAATACCCGCACCTAAAGCTATGCAACAGTAGTTGCAGGTGCCGCGATAGTCAGCGAAATGGCAAATTGTTACAACCCGACTAGGGCAGTCAATTTTGTAAAAGGTGGGACAGCCAACCAATCACTGACACGTTTTCCCAAAACACGGCACCTCCTGTCTCCGTTCTGGGCGACTATCTCCTCCTATTCCTTCCCTCTCAAACTTACTTTTTTAGTCATTACCGCCTTCATCACCTAGATGTGTAGATGGAATTAAAAGCGTTGCACAGCTCTTTCATCCATCATTTCGATGATCTTCCTCCTCACGAGTCATCAGAAATAAACAAATCTGAGACGCGCGTCTGAGCACTGTCAGTGACAAATCATTTCCAACTAGAAAGACATGTTTATTAGGTAAATTATTTGTGCATTACTGCTGAGCCAGTATTGGCCGTCGAGTGGTGTTTAATTCTGCACAAATGGGTCTCCACTTGCCCATCTAGTTTGTCCAGGCGCTTTGCGAAACGCTCCATCTGGCGTTCCACATCGACTGATCCGAAGGGGGCCTCGCATGCACTTGCAATGTGACAGGCTTCCTGTCGCAGAGCCTCAGTGTAGCCCACGAGCGCTCTCTTCATTCTCTCAAGGTCGGTGCTGCAGGGCTTGTTTGCTTGGGCCACCGAAGCAGCCTCCTTCGGTGTAATTGTAGAAGCACGCGACTCGACCTCGTCCCAGTCCGATTCCATGGTCTGTGAGGCTGTGCGCAAATTCACTCCCCCACCGCCTTCGATTTCTTCACTTATAAATCGATATCATTGTAATTAATTAATTAATAATCAATCGACTGAACCTAATAAAAAGCTGGAAGTGGTCTTTAAAGCAAAACGTGCTTCCGTTTGTGTTGAGTGCGCTGTTTGGTGGCAAGGATGATCGTGGGGCAAGGGCGTTGAGAGCACTGCAAAGAATTCGCCACCAGTTACCCCCACTAGCCCGCTGGAGGAGGAGACAAGAGTTTCTCTCCAGCGGGTTCAGCTGATGGATGGATGGGGTTTTTAGCCGACTCCACAGGTCATGGCGATTGCGTAATCGGAAGCTGGGCATTGTATTTCAACTGGTGAAATCACAGACATCCTTTATAATCTGTGGCATGATCAGTGGTCCTGCATGACAAGGTTACTGCATAATGACATCTCCCATGCCGACAAAACGGCATTTTGGCACGTACGAAACGGGCGCACGTGAACCAGACCTTTGCCTTTGTTAAAAAAATTGGATTCTGCTCTGTTTACCCTTTTTTAATGCAGCCTTTTGTTTGCTGCGGATCAAGTCCACTTGAAATCTTGCCTGTGGAGGGGGTCAGGCAATGAATCGCCATCTCTCAAATCATTGGTTGGAGGTAACTTCGGCCTACCAATTAACGTCATCCTCAGCCCTTCTTTACCTCGCTTCATTAGGAGTCAGCGACTCCTTTTTTGTCGTCCAACTTCTTTCCTTAGTCTCCGCAGTGCCACTGAAGCCTGCAGTGTTGCATGCTGTATCGTACAAGGTGCCTTTAAACATCGAGATTTATCGCCAAACGTAATTCCATGTCAACGCTGTCCAAAAACAAAGTCAATGTAATTCCCTATTTACTTTGATGTCAGTTTATTTATAATCGAGTGCAAAAGTCAAACTGATGAGAATAGAGCTATTGCAGGTCTGTGAGGCTGTTACCAGCATCGTAGTCACCGAACACATAGATTTTGGGGTCATGTAATCAGATTATTCTTCTAATCAAGAATAGAAATGAACTTCTGTCCAAAATATCACCTTTCTGGCAAAAGAATGCATCTCTTTAGTACCAAGGTGTATCTAAAAAAATTTGATTTTATCCACTGGGTTCACAGGCAGCAGAAGTGGCCAAAGCTTCTAGTTAATGAACAATTATTTGGCCCCAGAATCATGACCAAGGTGCGATAAAAATGCTAAGAATACAATCCCAAAATGATTAGGAGGCATGTCTTGAGGAATAATTTAAAGAAGATTTAATTCAAGAGCCTAATGAGAGCGTCAAGCACCTCACAAAGCCCTATATCCCTCTTCCTACCTCTTGTGAAATACATCCAAACACCGGTAACGACTACCAAGTCCTAAATTTTGAGAATTCCTCAAGTGATATTCCCCCGCACTTGGGGAAGATCCAGGAATGGATATCCAAGACTCTCATCCAGTCTCCTAGATTTTATGCTTGAAAGTCATTAAATGCTGGCACTTGGAAGGCCGCTTAGATAGACCTCTAGCAATCATCCCTGCCTCATGATCTGTAGAAATGCTACTGACAACTGGAGCAACACCAATCAAGAATCATCTAGATTAGTTGGTCAGGGAGCTGTCTGCGGTACCTGTGCAAAGATGTCAAAGCAGTGAACACGCGATGTGTTCCCCTTCTCTCCTCTTTTAGCTGGACGGACCACAGATAGGTATGACTGTGGAGTACTGAAGTAAAAACAAAGTAACAAGAAGAGAAAGACGCAAAAAACTTATTTGCAAGGAACTGTTTTCAACCCCTTTTCTTAATAAGTAACATTACATTTAGGCCAATGATCCTACGACTACCTGTAGACATTCGCGATGACCACCACATTCCTCCGTCCTTCAACATACTTCCCCACTGGATGAAACTCCAGATCCAGTGGAATTTCCGAGCTGAAGAAATGACGTTGCAGTCAAGCGTTGCCCCAGTTGCATGGAAATTCGATGACTGAAGCGGTCGATTTGTGGGTGCCTTCCTTACAGGACTGAGTACGTTGTGATGGCCGACACGGGGGGATGACCAGGGCAGAGGCCGGAGAAGACGTTCATAAGGGGAGAGGGGCTATGCAATACTGTAATTGTAGTTACTCCGCCATTGTACCTCCTCTTCGTTGACAATTTGGCGTGTGTCACTAAGGGAGTCACTAGTACCGCACTCAGAGATAAACAGAGAAGCTAAGGCAGCCGTTTAAGGAGTCGAAGGTGCTTTCAGAAAGGGACAGAATTTGCTGTAAGTGTCGGGACTTTGCCAAAATTGAAATGCTAGATTGCACTAGCACCGTATAAAACTTGTTATGGATTTCCGGTGGCATGGTAGGCAAATTCGAGTTACATGGCAGCACCGAATCCTCGTGTGGACTGGCTCTGGGCAGTTGAGATCACTTTCTTCCCTGGGCACATGGGTTGGAGCCAGCGCGGAGGGGAGGAGGGGGCTAGGATGTAGTCAAATTTAGGCCACAGGTGTCACTTCAACAAAGGTATTCATGTACTTACAAGGATAACTGCATACATGCAGGTACACGAAGGCACACACACACACACACCTGTTTTAACCATTTGTGATTCTGCATTCCCCTTGAGATATGCTAAAAGTGAGTGGAGTAAATGACACACCTTAGAACCCCCTATCACCCTGCTCCCTGTTCCACAAGCTGCTGTCATAACGATTACAAAACACTCCACCCGTGAGTGAATTACAAAGAACAAGGCATCCATCAATCACACATGGTTGAACTGGTACCTCCTGTCAATAAGTTATTAGCAGCGGTGGATTGTAAAGACAACGCTTGCCAACATTATCAGCCAAAAGGCAAGACTGCACATTTCGGGTTTGGCTAGCGCCTGAAGGAAGGTTAACTAAGCATCGGTCAATCGATGCATCAAGGCGTCAGTGTCAACGGAGGTCGCGGCGCCAGACATTAGCCGGCACGCTTCTGCAATGCCCACCACAGCATGTTCGCTTGCCCACCTTAAACAAACACCTCGCCAGCTTGGTAACAAGGCTCCACAAACATAACCTTCTTTTTTGCCCATCCGGTTCACATTGGAAGAGGCATGATGATAACCTCGGCTCCAACACAGACACACTGGCAACCCCTCAGCGCTGCAGACCGCAATTCCACCTGTACCCAAATACGCATCACCGTCTCCGTGTTTGGTTAAAGGAGAGCTGAGCTGAATGCCTTCTTGACCGCACACTCCTGTCTCAAACTGACTGTAGAGTGGTTGTGCTGCCAACTTGCCAGTGATACAGGACAAGAGCCATCGGGTGGGTGCGCTTGAAAACTCTTGTCAGGAGACGGAAACCACAAACCCGATTGAGGATCACATCCTATTAGGAGGGGCAGAATCAATGGCGATGAGGTTAGGGTAGAGGTGAGTCCCGAAGTGTGGTAGTCTGAAAATATCCCCACTCACTAGAATACACACACAGACACAGAGGGACAGAGACATGCCTGCCTCACACCTGACTAAGATTGACAAACCCAGATGGCGAATCATAGTGAACTATCAGATTGTCACGTCCGCATGACTTCCGCCTTGTTTTCGTCTCGGTGGGGGCGCCGTGTCAGTGAGGTCGCATTCACCTGCCTTAGGCAAACACATAATGCACATCCTGCCCACCCGTGACCCCGAAAAAACTTAGTACAGAAAGCAATGAGGATTAAATAGTCAACAAGACAAAATTGCAACTTAATTTTGAGCAGGAGCAACTTACCCTCAGCGCGACGTGCACAGAGGCATGAATGCCCAAATTTTCACAGTCACGATGACTGACGAATTTTGGCAGAGCTTTCTCGACAAGCATGATAACCTATCATTTAATTATCCCTAGGATATAACTGCAAGCACAGAATAATACCATATATTAGTAAGATACTTTCTTTAGTTGTCCACCTGTTCATCCTTTGCTCGGGCTTCTACAAGCCTATAGCCTACTGGTGTAGCCGGATTGCTAACATCAGTGGACAGCATTGCAACGTCATAGGTGCAAAGTGCTGCTGTGGTGATATACAGATTACATATTCGCATCAACGTTTGCAACTACCGCAATTTTGTGATAACTGTCGGTAGAGCAGAAAAGTCTCGTCTAACACAGTGGTTGGAAGTTAAGATCAGAGGGCGTCGATTTTAGTAAAGTGTTTCAAAAAAAGTTAGTGACCATGGGAATCGACGCTTTCCGCCTTTAAACGTTTCTACTTTCCTTTTTTTACAAGACATGAGAACGCGAAGGTGATTAAGAATCCTACCTAAATTGACGATGTCTACGAATGCGGATAAAATGTTCCCCTCTAGTTAGTTACAACTCATCAGATAGGCACCTGAGTTTGTGACCTTTTGGTTCCTTTGCGTGTGTATCAGATACTCACAACCACGCTCATGTATGGCGCCATGATTTGGTGGACGTATCAAGAACTGCACAACCATCTTCATCACTCCTGTAAGACAAAAAGGTGATGCCATACTTATAACATTTAAGTAGGTTTAATAGAAAATATCAGTGAAAGTCAAGTAGGGGTCAAGTGGGTGAGGTATGGGAGGGCTGCGCAAAAGGTTGACCTTTTAGAAAGATTGTCACGCCTGGAAGCACCATCTTAGCCGGTTTAGCCTTTGTTTTTAAGTTGAAAACATGGGACCATGGCTCTTCGTCTTATATACGGGACAGGCGTAGGTGCCTCGTGTGTTCTGCTTGTCAACGGGAAGGGCCTTGACGAAGACCATGGGTAGAGTAGCAACCAACTCCTTGGGCTTTGCCTTTACCAGCAGACCAGTCTGCGTGTCCCACTGTGCGCCTTCCACAAAGAAGCTGTGCACGAACGCACCGTCCCTTGGAGGTCCTGTCAGCTCCTCCCTTGTCTTCCGCGTCACATCCACATTTAGTGTCACTCGATCAAGTGGCCATTTGTTCTTTCTTGACATCTGCTGGATGATTACCGTGAGAAAGGATTGTGAACTAGGCAGTCTTCTTAATCAATTTCACTCGGTAGGGATGCAAAATCACTTACCCAAATTCCCCATTTCCTAGCTTTTGCAATCATATCGGCGTTTCATGAATGCTATAGCTACAGACCAGGCTCTGGTAGTTTAGGTGGGTAAAATTGTGTCAGAAAAGACTGATGGTCAGTTAACGTTTTGGTTCTAAATGAGTTCCTTGAGGAAATGCAAAATTATCCTCGGCTTAACGCTTATGCAATTGCACTTTTGGAAAGTCACCATGAAAAATGTAGTTTTTTGAAAATAAAAAATATTCTTATACTTCATTCCTATACTTTTCTTGCTTCAGTCTGCACAATTTCCGTAGCTAGCCCACACTAGAATTTGTTCATATTTTGCATTATTGTGTACTGAACCATGAAATGCAGCATTCAGAAGCCATAGCTTCGGTCTCAAAAAGGGAAAAAAGTCAGGGCCGATATGACATTATCTCGTTTACAAAGTGGTCTTGAAGGAGTGACTCAGGTGGGTTGGTCACATGTACACTTCAATTTTAACGCAGTCAGTTCATTTGCATGTCTTCAGTAAACACAGCCTCCAATGCAAAGTAAAAGGTTCTGGGTTAGCAAGGGGGGAGGGGGAAGGTTTGGCAGGAGGCTCGGAGACGGGCCATAAGTTGCTCCTGTGTTTGGACTTTGGACACAAACAGAGGAGGAATGAGTTCGTTGGTGTGGGTATGGGTGAAGGAGGTCCCCTTCTTTTCCACAATTTGTGCGCACCTTGGTTAAATTACAACTTCCACCAACGGTGCCACCACCATATCTAATGCATAGTTACAGAATCTGGCAGCGAATCATTCTTTTTCACCAAACTCCTATAGCTGAGTACCTATACATCCAAGCTAAAGTCCTGGACTAACAATACATCATTCACATTATTTCTTCAAGTAAGGTAAGTGGGTTGAAGGGTTTGTAACTGTCCTTTCCCTACATGCAAATGCAGCAAAAGATGGGCGTTGATTTCTCCACAGAATCTTTAGCAAACTCTCATCCCACAGTCCAGTTTAAGGAGATGCTGTGATTATTTTGCTTGCCTGTGTAGCCAGCCACCTAAGCACAGTTATAGCGGAAGATGCAGAATGGCGCACATTTCTGCGAACAGACACAGACCCCACTTGGAGGGCTCCTTTCGCGAATTACACTACTGCATTCTCACCTAACAATACCCCTGCCTCAGTTGGACAATGAACGGTGACGGAAGGTTGGCTTTTCAACAGTGGAGTTTCTGTAGTTCCTTTGAAGGGGAATAGAAAAGTGGCCTGGCACCTTTAAAGCGATGTGCCTGAGGTGGCCATCGGAGTGCTTTAAAACCTGCAACCTTTCTGCTTATAATTTACAGAGGTCACCTCTGACCTTCATGCAGGTACTTCAAAAAGAGCATCTATGTTGGGTCTCATGCTTCCATCCCAACCACAAATTTAATGATATCACACAACAACTATGTTACCCAGTCTAGGGAACAGCAGGTGGACAAGTTTCAACCCAAAAGAACATATATCATTTCCCTTTGCTTTTTTCAAAAAGCCTGCTAGTTACTGAAGAATTCATTGCGTCATAATAAAACCCGTACGAGGCGAAACACCAAAACTTTGGGCAATTACTACCACTACCACCGTCGTGGTGTTTCGTTGCTTCTATTGGTCCTCACCTCTACCAATTTTGATTCTTGTAAAACCACTTTAGGTGACTGACCATGACTACTTTAGTTGACTCGACTTTGGGAAACGTAAAAAAGGTTACTTTTACGTACTTAAGGAACTTGATTGAAACATGTGATTAATCAGGAGGGAAACTGCCCTTGATTCAAGGAATGTTCAAGCGCATTAGAACGCACGGTGCATCCTCCTGGTCATGATTTGGAGGGAATGAAGAGGAATGAAAATATTGGATTGTGAGCTGTATACTAACCATTATCTTTTAGTCGTTGATTTGGTTTGGTAATGAGGGCCAGTTCCGCCATGGCTGTAAAATTTTGTCATAAGCTGCTGATTACCGCATTGACTTTAATCCAATACGCATTGTCTTAAGTTTAAATGCTGTGAGTTTGGTTAGTTTGGACTCTTGCTTTGTTTCTCAATAGGACAAAAGCGTGTGATCCTTTAGGGGGAAATTTGAGTCACAATTCACCCTCCATGCAGGCATCATTTCGTGATGGAATGATAGAGACCATTTGGCGGAAGATTAGGCATAGTTACCATCGGTAAATAACCCAGGAACAAGTAGATCTCCTCTGTGGAAGGGGCAGAGGTTAATTATGAGTACAACAAAAGCCATTTAAAGCCGTAAAATATTGGCCTAGGGGATAAAGAGTCACGGTGGTAGTAAGACCGCCTTAAATAATTTCAGGTTAGTGGACTATGAAATTCAAGTCCATTCCATGTAACCGATCCCGACCTCACCGTGCACACATACACACACAGTCTTCCCACGATGTTTATTTTTCAAGAGGTCTCCACCCCCAATGGCGCAACGCTACCCTTGTCCTCCCCCAACCACGTCGCCCACAACTGCCTCAACCCCTAAAGTCAGTCTACGTAGACCCTGATCGGATTATAATCAGTGTCAATTGAGAATTGCGGGTCGGTACGGTACCATGTGGCGTGACGTGTTTAGAAGAGAAGGATGGGTCGGAGGAAAGAGTCATGATTTTGCGGGAAGGGGGAGGAGGCGGTAGGCTGAGGTGATTAGCTGTGGGCGATACGTGTGTGCATGCATGTGCGCGCGTGCGTACGTGTGTCCTCAGGGAACCTGTGGGTGGTTGAAACATGAAGACCTGCTACTCGTCGACCTACCAAACACGTAATCTGAACTGATAAGGCGACGCTACAGCTGCAGAGTCCTCTGTCTGTGTCACGTATGTTGGAAATGCCGCTGCGAGACATGCAGGACAACAAAGTTCTGCCTTTTTTTGCTATGCAGGTAAGAAGGAAGGGTCTTAAGACTTTACTAAAGATGGTGATTTGGTGTCTAGCCATTGCCTGCCATCAGGACTGAATTAATACTTCCATGCTGCACTTAACTTTCGCATCTGTAATGCAGTAACTGGAAACTGCCAATTCAGAATATTTTAAGTCTGTGGCATATTTCATATGTTCGGAAAAGCTCAAAAATTTAGAGTTGCAGATCGTTTATTGAGTCAGAAGTACTTGCATTGAAGGACGGCGGCAATTGTGGAGTTGATTATAAGCCAAAATAGGTCAAGGGGAAATGACTGCACTCCATGCCTGTTACTCTCAGTATGGCTGGATGGCTCTCCAAGTAAAAGCAAAAGGAGCGTATGGAGGAAAATATAGCCGTGGAGTTTCCTTACTGTCACAGAAGTACTTGATAATACTGGACTACTGAAGGGAAGAGTCTACCTTTCTTCAAATGCAAGGGCATATTCTACACTTCAAACATTCATTTTCACCACAAGAGTGTGGATTACTTACAGAGTTTCTACTTGAAAAATTCTGCCCCCATCGCTTAAACAATGAAATTAATTTTGCTATTTATCTAACCCCTTCAAAAACTCTTATTTTGGTGAATTTACAAAGCAATCCATCGCAAGTTTCTAAAGATATA